CTCTCACCTGGTCCCTTGGCACCGCCCACCCCCTTCGACATCATTCTTCCCCCAGCAGCAGCATTTGTGTCTGACCAGACTACAATGACTGCTTACCCTGACTTTTCTGTGTCATCATGTGGATGGCAGGCTCTGTTCAGTCTGGTTGTCCATCCCGATTTTCTTTGGGATTGTTGGGGCCCAGGCAATTTGGGTGAATTTTCTGATGTCAGCTCTCTCTGGAAGTGCTGGGATGAGGGCATGGCTATTGAGGGAGTTGGTCGCAAGCCTCCATTGCAGATGGTGGAGACTGAATGGGGTTCTTGCAAGGACAAGTGGTCAAACAAGGGACACCATGCTGCATGGCGTCCTCACCAAAACACCACTGTATGTCTTTTTTCACATTGTTCACCTCTCAACACAACATTAATCTGCCTCTTCAGGCCCATCAAAAATGGTCTCAATTTCAGTTTTTCATCAGTCGAATAGAGACCTCCATTAGCACTGGGCTTACGGCCTTGCAAGCTGTCCAAGTTCTTGAAGATACATGTCTTACGTTCTCAATGCCGCAGCTTCATCGCAAACTCCAAACAAAGCGGCAGAAGAAGGGCAAGGTAGGTGGCCCTTGCCCTGAGTCTAGTGCTCCCTCCTCTGGGGATGTCATTATGGCCACTTAAAAATTAATCATGCTTTCGTTGTATCATTAACTTTTTTTCTTTGTCTTTTCTTTTTATTTCTTCATTTTTTTTGTCGAGCCTCTCGTTACTTGGTCATACACACATACTGTACTCAGCCACATTAGTAATATATACCATACTTCTCTACAAAACCGAATGCTAAAGTTGAACAAGGGTGTGCCAAATTTCATTAATTTGGCAGATCACTCCTGAAGCAATTCCTGTTGAATTGAGCCCAAAAACATAGAATACGATAAGAACTTCCGTGTGAGCCGCAATTTCCAGCAAGAGACCTTATTTCCCCACAGAACCAAACACTGAACTTGAACGGTTGGGCGCCATATTTCACAAACTCGGGAGGTTGTTCCTGATGCAATTTCGGTCAAGTAGAGCCCAACAACGTAAAAATCGAGCAAGAACTTACCTGTAAGCCTCAATTTAGGATAAGAGACCTCATTGCTCTGCAGAACCGAACACCGACTTTGAACTGTGAGGCGATACGTTTCGCAAACTCGGGAGGTTGTTCCTGAAGCAATTCCGGTCAAGTAGAGCCCAAGAACGTAAAAATCGAGAAAGAACTTACCTGTAAGCCTCAATTTCTGGTAATAGACCGTATTGCTTTGCAGAACCGAACGCCGACTTTGAACGGCTAGGCGCTATGTTTCGCAAACTCGGGAGGTTGTTCCTGAAGCAATTCCGGTCAAGTAGAGCCCAAGAACGTAAAAATCGAGAAAGAACTTACCTGTAAGCCTCAATTTCTGGTAATAGACCGTATTGCTTTGCAGAACCGAACGCCGACTTTGAACGGCTAGGCGCTATGTTTCGAAAACTCGGGAGGTTGTTCCTGATGCAATTTAGGTCAAGTAGAGCCCAAGAACGTAAAAATCGAGAAAGAACTTACCTGTAAGCCTCAATTTCTGGTAATAGACCGTATTGCTTTGCAGAACCGAACGCCGACTTTGAACGGCTAGGCGCTATGTTTCGAAAACTCGGGAGGTTGTTCCTGATGCAATTTAGGTCAAGTAGAGCCTAAGAACGTAAAAATCGATCAAGAACTTACTTTGCTATCTCAATTTCTGCTTATGGGCATGGTTTCACCACAAAACCGAATGCCAAAATTGAACGGATGGGCGTTCCATTTCCTAAACTCGGGAGGCGCTCCCTGTAGTAGTCAGCATCAAGTAAAGCCCAAGATCATAAAATTTGAGCCAGAACTCACAGAGTAAATTTTGTAAGTCTTCCGGGAGGTGGGCTTACCAAACCTTGATTCTGGAAATAACTTGTGAGCTGAGTGGAAGTGAAGTTCATTTATTTAAATAACGAGGCTTCTACCTGGTAATCTATTTTACAAGGTAAGGGAGAGGAGAGCTAAGTACGAGCGGCCGCAACGGAAAGGGTATGAGCATGAGAGAAAACCCTCAGGGTCCAGGACAAGTGTTAGGTGGGAGGTGTGATTTCAGGACAAGTCGAGTCTCCCACCTGCCAAAAAGTGTGATCCAAACTGTGATTTGGCAGGTCCGTTTTGTGACTTGTCCTGGAAAAAAGTGTGATTTGGCGTGGGACGTGCTGCAAAAAGTGTGATTTGGTGTGATTTGCAGGACAAGTGTTGGTGCGGGCAAGCATGATCTGGGTGTGATTCGAACTCCGAAATCACAACACTTGGCTTGAGACCAGGCATTCAACATGACTTTCCAGGGTCCTGTGTCAGATCCACCGATTGCGGCTGTCAGATACATCCATGACAAAGCACAACCGGTGATTTCCAGGAGACAGCACATCAACGCTGTACTTTACCCTCCCACATGAGTTCCGGCAGAATCTGGTGGAGTGTTGGAATTCCATTTGGAATCTGCCGGAATCCACAGGAATCTCGGAATCTGCCGGAATTGTAGGAATCTCAGATTCTGCCGGATTCCAAGTGGAATTCCAACACATTCCAACTTCATTCCAACACATTCCAACTTCATTCCAACACATTCCAACTTCAATCCCTGAATAACCAATATTTATCACTCCTCCACCCATTACCTAACCACTTTGTGTAACTTAGACCTTAGAATTTCATACAAAAGTGGTGATTGACCATACATATTGTATTGATAACTATATACAAAAAGTATTGAACTAATCTAAGGGAGAGGGAGGGTATGGGGGGAGTGAGAGAGGGGAGGGAGTGCAGTGATGGAGGGGGGAGGGAGTGGAGTGATGGAGGGGGAGTGAGGGAGGGAGGGGGGAGGGAGTGCTGTGGGAACGACAAAGGCCGCAATGCCGTTCGTCGTTGTGGGCAATCGTCTTCATACATCGGCAGTCATTTTCGTACGTGGGTGGTCGTTTCCGTGTCGCATCATGTCGTGTTGTCATTGTTGTGTTGTTGTGTTGTTGTTGTTGTCATGTGTTGTTGTTGTCGACGTGGTGTGTCATTGGCATTGTCCATTTGTATGTGGTCGTGGTTCGTGCCATTGGGTGGTGGTGCTAGGCTGTCGTTGCCGTTGCTGGGTGGTCCTCGTCACCGTTGTGTCTCGTTGTGTTGTGTGTGCGTACCGTTGTTGTTGTGCCATTGTTGTCTCGTGTCGTCGTGTTGTGCCGTCGGGTGGTGGGGAGTCCTCGTGGGAGGTGGTGATGGGCCGTGGACGTGTCGTTGTCGTTTGCATTGTTGTCCTGGGTCGTCGTGAGCTGGTTGGGATGAAGAGGGATGGGGGGTACTTACCATACCTGATGTGGATGGTGACAACGTCGTGCGTCGTCACCGTCAGATGAGGAGGCACGTCCACTGACGTGCTGCATCGTCGTCGTCACGATCCGGTGGGCACTCATTCGTTTGCGGGGACTGGTGACGTGCCGTTCTGGTCATCTCGTGGATGGCGGTGGCTGCTGCTGGTGGGCCGTCATCGTCGTTAGTGGGTGGTGCTGGTGCTGGTGGCTCCTTGTCGCCGTTGGTGGGGGGTGGTGATGGGCCATTGTGGGCGTTCGTGGGTGCTGATGGTGGGCCGCGTTCGCCATTCGGTGGTCATGTCATGTCATCTGTGGTGGTCATCGTCCATGGTTGTCGTCATCTGTGGTTGTCATCGTCCGTGGTTGTCGTTGTCTGTGGTTGTCATTGTCCGTTGTAGGCGATGTGGTGAGGAGGGGGGGGGTCATCGTGGAGGATGGTTGTAGTTGAGGAAGAAGAGGGTTGAGGGTTTGTTGATGGCACTAAATCGAGTGTCGGCGTTTGCCGACGCTCGTTTGGGAAGGTGCAGCCAAGAGCCACTTGTATAAAGTAATAATTCTTCAGCTTATAATGGTTCTATGGCTCAGTGGTAAGCATGCTCTTCTTTAGTCATGTGATGTCTGCTGAGGCTATGGTTCAATCCTTGCTCATGTCATTATTTTTTATATTATAATAACAACTGTAATCACTGCATTTCTTCGGAATTCCAACGGAATCCTTTGGAACTTAAGTGGAATGTGGATTCCATTGGAATTCCATGGAATCTGGTTGGAATTCCAATGGATTCCAATGGAAACTGTTCCAGGAGGCTCCTGGATTCCAACCCTTTCCACCAGATTCTGTCAGATTCTGTCGGAATTTCCATGGAATTAGAAACCAAAATGGCTGAGACTCCAGCCAACTGGTTTCTGTCAGAATTCCATGGAATTCCAACATTCCTCTTGGAATCCACTGGAATCTGCCGGAACTCATGGGGGATGGTAAAGACCTCCATCAACGGCATATCTTCACTCATCAAATTTAAACCAACTCTGCTTCCATGTCGCTTTCACACTATTCGCCTGACTTTGCGAGGCTTGTTTTGAGCTCAAAGCGCCAGTTTTTAGAATTAGGTCTGTCGATTTTTATGCACAAGGGATTTCGCCCCTATGTACCGAACATCTCAAATACAGTGCATCATAAAAATGGGATGGCAGATAGGCTTTTGAACTGAATAGAATCACCTAATTTACAGTCATGGTATTTACCATCCAATGCATCGCATGTCTTCTCGAGCAATTTCTCTATATTCCAATCACACAGTTTTTAATTCCTGAGTATATGATCATGGTGAATCCCTAGTGTCAGCAAGGTCAAAAAATAATCTTTGTGGATGCAGAGTTGACCCAGGGCGTTGAGTGCATCAAGATGCTATGAGGTAGTCAAGAGAACACTTACTAAAATCTTTTCTTTTTCAGCATCTTCTCTGTTGCTTCTAATTTCTGTTCAACTAATGGTGCTCAGACTTGCGCGATAAACATTGGCAGGTAATTTACAAGTGAGATAAGCATATTTAACTCTTGCTATGTGACCATTATCCTGACACAAAGAGCATGCCACGTTTTTGCCATAGGCAACTCCAATGCATTGATGAGAGTGGACACAAATGGAAGGTTTTTTTGTAGTCTTGCTTGTGTGGAAGCTATTGGTAAATATATCTAAACAAACTCCGAAATGAGCATCTGCAGTTCATTTTGAGTTTTTCTGTCTTCCCTAGTGTAATATAACACACACTAGATATATATTATAGTTATTGTAATGTTTAAGTATGCATTCCAGAGATTCCCCCATGAAAAACGAGATGGATGGAGAACGGATGATGATTTGTTATTACAAGTGGTTTTCAACACAGACAAATAAGAGGCTACAGCCAAAAGTCCAGGCATGATGGTCTTTCACGTGTGCTTCTCAACATTATGCTAATGTCACAACGTGTGACATGGCTTCTCTCTTCAACCCACGACGACCACCACACGCCAAATACAAACCATGACACCAACCAGACACCAACCACCACCATCAGCAAACATACCAACCACGCCGCCAGCCACTACCATGAACAAACACCCAGCACCACCGTCGGACGGAAACGACGGCCCACCACCCCATCAATGAACGCCCATCACCGCTGTCAACAAATGGCAATGAACGCCCATGACCCATCACCGACGAATGGCGTGAGGCCTATGAACGGATGCAGGCGACGATGAGCCGAGGTGAGCAACTCACCTCAACCTCACCCACTCACATCTGTAACACAGAAGCCAGGTGCCATGTCACCAACAGTGACGTGGCAACCAAATGACAAACGACAAATTGAAATTCGTCATTTGTCATACCTGTTTGTTCTAGAACACCACGGTAAGCACCCCCATCCCACCTTCTTCCCAACCCACCTCGCTGAGAGACAGGACACGGGACGATGACAGACGTGGAATGATGACGTGACCAGTACATGCGACACCGACGTGATGACAGTGCACGCCACATGTGGCACCACGACCCATGGATGGCGACGAGGCTCACCACTATGCACCCAGCCTGGACACAGCCAGCCAGTGCTGTTACCTGAAGCAATCAGAATGGATACTTTGCCAAAATACATCTTATATCAGAATGGGTAGTTGCCCACTGGACAGTTTACCATAGAGTCATGATGTGTCGTCAACGTAGGCTGTAGAGTACGTCAGTGAGCTCAGTGGTTGTGCTCACTATTAGTGACAATGTCGGGCACTGTTTTCAGGGTCCAGGGCGCATTTCCAAATAAGGAAATATGCGCTTTTTCCAAATGGAAAATAGCAATAAAATAGGGGGAAAATCCAGTACTTTACAGTGCCCCACCCATTCCTGCAGGAATCCACAGGAATCCACAGGAATCCTCAGGAATCCTCAGGAATGGGACAGGATTCCTCAGGAGTCCTCAGGAATCCACAGGAATGGGACCAGAATACAACAGATACAACACCTTCTCTTTGTGCTAGATACATTTACACTAATATACACTTCTTCACACTGACTTAAAGGATATCAACACTTTCTTATAAAATTTATATATTAAAATTCAAATATACATCTAATTTACTATTTTCTAAGTTAAATGAAGGGGCAGGAAGAAAGGGGGGGAGGGGGAGAGGAAGGAAGGAAGGAAGGGAGGGACAGGGAGTGGTGTGGGGCTGTCATCAGGATAAGGAAGGGATGGAGGGAGGGAGGAAGGGGGGAGGGAGGAAGGGGGGAGGAAGGAAGGGAGGAGGAAGGAAGGGAGGAGGAAGGGGGGAGGAAGGAAGGAAGTGAGGGACAGGGAGTGGTGTGGGGCTGTGATCAGCATAAGAA